ACAAATATATAGTTGTATACATACCCATACATTCATACAGAACAATAACATTGAATTTTATATAATAAAATGAATGAGATGAATATGTACATACTTCGTTTGACCATTTCAATCTATTGTGGAAATCCATGCAATACAAGTCCTTAACTTTCACTAATATTTACAAAATTTTATGTTTTATTTTATCAGCAAGTATATTATAATTAATTTATAGAAATAAATCGTTCATTAAATATTAAACATGTTTTTTGAATTTTATAGAAATAAAGTTGTTCGTGAAATTCAAATAAATCAAATGTTGAGTTCTTCGGGTAAATTAATGAACCAATATGAGGGCAAACTCTTTGTACTTGTTCTCTTCTTCACACGAACAATTTTGCTTGTCGAATTCTTTCTTTCTTTTACTCATAGAAACAGAAATGTCAAAATCTTATATTTTCTAAAACCCTATATTTATGCAGGCATTAGTTGCCATCAACCAAATTACGAAACAGATTTTGGATGGAAACCCAGATTTCTTCCCAATTAAGCCTATGGATTATGGACGCTTTTTAGTCATCTCAGTGGGCACTGGCTCGTCAAAGGCACAGAAGAAATACAGTGCTCAAAAGGCAGCCAAATGGGGAGTTTTAGGATGGTTGTTGAACGGAGGTTCCACTCCAATGGTAGATGTTTTCACTCAAGCCAGTGCTGATATGGTGGATTTACATATTTCCGTTGTTTTTCAAGCATTTCATTCTCAGGAAAACTACCTTAGAATTCAAGTAAGATTGACGTTAAACTACATCTTTTACAAGCTAAAGTTTACAGCCAAATTTTACTCATGTAAATTTTACTTCAATAAAGGCCTAACAAATACGTAATTTTTTTAATACTGACGTATATTCATCTAATCTGAAAGATAAATCTAAACTATATTTGTTTATTTAAATTGTGTTAAACCCTCTATTTTGTAATTTGCTTTCACAATTTTGAGAACTGACAATATTTTTAATTGGATGTAAGGAGGACACTTTAGATGGGACGGCCGCCTCAGTTGATGTTGCAACAAAGGAAAACCTGAACAAACTGGTTCAAATTGGCCAAAGTTTATTGAAAAAACCAGTTTCAAGGGTAAATTTGGATTCAGGTCTATTTGAGCCAACTGAAAACGGTGGAACAAATGAGGATGCTTTGAAAAAGTAAGAATAAACATTAGGAAAAAAAAAATAGATTACTCCTATTTCGCGTATTTGTAATTCATTTCTATTTATGTTAACAATTGTCCTATTCATTTTGTCTTACAGGTTTGCAAAATTGCTTTCAGAAGAA